AGTTAGTTATACGAATTTAAAAATAAAGCTTTAATAAGTTGTATTTATGCAAAATTACATGTAATATTAAATTTTAAGTAACATGCATCAATAAACAGTACTTCATGCATAAAAAATGGTTTTTAAGAGTTTTTGTTAAATGCTTTATAATATAGTATAGATTTAAGTTTAAAAAACCATTAAAAAATAAGATAATATACAAAAATATTCACGGTTTTCTTTTTAAAACATAAGGTAAATCACAAAAAAAATTGACTAAAGAATCTTTGACCTAACGGTATGTGAGTTCTTAGTCTTCTAGAGATCAAGAATTCAAACCTCTTCAAAAATGAAAAAGATGTGTAATTTTATTTGCTTTATATAAAATATTATATACTTTAAAAAAATATTTTACTCATTTATATACTTTTTTGTAAATAAATTAGTTTGATAACAAAATAAAATATCTTATATATTCTCTATAAAAATTTGTTGGAGATAATATAATGAAAAAAATTATTTTTCTCCCATTCTAGTTCTTTCTGGAAGGTTTTTAAAAATTGAAAAATATTTCGTTTTGTAGAAATATTTTTGGAAATATTGTGAAATAAATAATTTGTCCAAAACTTTTATTATCTTCGTTTAAAAAGAAATCTGTTGGAAATATCGAAAAAATACTCGAAATATTTTCTTTTAACACATTTTAAGTTGAAAAATGTGTATGGGATTTTATAATTATGATTTTAATTTTCATAATGTAGTTAAAAAACACAACACCTTTTAAATTAAGAAAAAGAAAATGTAAATATAAAACAGGGGATTATTTTTTAATTTATAAATTTATCCTTTTTGTTATAAAAAAAAAATATACAAAGTTTTAGATTTAAAGTTTAAAATGGAATTGTTTGGTTTCGTTTGCTAAATTAATCGACAAACAGTTAGTCGATAAAATAACTGATAGCTAATAATAATTAACTAATTACTTTTGAAAATTTATAAAATGATAGAAAAAATACTTGTTAAAAATTATTAGATTTCAAAATGATCGTATAATATGTTAATTAATATCAATCATCTATTAAAGAAAACCAAATAAAAAAATATACTAGTTAATAGAATTTCAGTTTATTTTATTAGATATTAGAAGATGTACTCACGCAATGCAACAAGATACATTTCAATTTCAATGTTTCGTTTTGCTTTATTATTTGCTTTTGTCGATATTATAATATGATTTTATGTGGTTTTGGAAAACGATTATGTTATTATCTTTTAATAAAGTATAAATTTGAAAAAAAAATAATATACCAGTATTAGTATTAAGTTAGCAATTTAAAAATTATCGTTTTTTGTGTAGTTTTTAATTCAATTTTTTTGTTATACTTTAATTTAGTCTTAATAACGAAGTAATTTATTTTTTATTTAATATGTAGTCTTTTTATAAAAATAATAACTAAATGTTATGTTAGAACTCAATAACTATCTTAATATATTTTACATTTTTATTATAAATGAGATGTTTATTCTGTATTTGATTATGTTTATCTGTAATTAGTTACAAAAATTCAAATATAAAACTTTAATAAGTTGTACTTACGCACAATTTACTTGTAATCTTTAATTTAAAGCAATGTGCATCAATAAACAATATTTGATGCATAAAAAATGGTTTTTAATTTTTTTTGTCAAATGCCTTATAATATAGTATAGATATAATATTATAAGTTTTTATTTATTTA